GCAACCCACGGGGCAAAACACGTCCACGCACACCCTTGTCAAATTGCTGGACCCTTGTCACTGGTTGTAAAGCTTCATAAAACTCAAAGCACTGGGAAAGAAGCTCGCGACTAGCTCGTGTGCACACTGCGCGTCGGTCTAACAATTCGACTGCCCAGTTGATCAGACAGACCATTTCTTGCGCAGCAAGCAACTGTCCTTGCAACTCGTCTAGCAACAAAAGGCAGCCAGCGCAAAGCCGACACAGATAACGCGCCACCAAATGAACCAAGCACAAGCAAACCAAGCGGGCCACTCAGTTAGTCGATCCTTGTCTCCTCAAACTGCCATTCGCAGTCCGACAGTGGTTGCTTTCAATGGTTTCATCCTCTGCCGAACGCCCTCTACGCGAAAGCTCAGCCACTCCCGGCGTCTCTGCCATGCATGCCACCACGTGTCCGTGTCACACTGTGCGATGCAATTTGAAGACCACATCTTGCACAGGTCATCAAAGTCGACATCAGCAACTGAGCAACTGGATATGGTGCCATAAAGATCAAAGAATCTCACGGGCCACAAGCGGCTCTGGTAATCGAACCATTCAATGTCCGCACCAGGTCTCGGCGTGGTTGCTTTGAATGCTTGTCATCCTTGCCAAAATGCTGGACCCTTGTCACTCATGGAAGTAGACCGTGGATTTGCCATGAAGTTTCATGCAAGTCAAACAACTTGGAAAGCAGCTGGGGCGTAGCTCATACCGCACATTCGCCAGGCAGCAAATCGCCTTGCAACTCCTCTATCCACAAATCGGCAGCTGCCGCAGAACCGACACAGAAGAAAGTGAACAAACAATCTACGCACCTCCAAGCACAAGCAAACCAAGCGGGCCACTCAGTTAGTCGATCCTTGTCTCCTCAAACTGCCATTCGCAGTCCGACAGTGGTTGCTTTCAATGGTTTCATCCTCTGCCGAACGCCCTCTACGCGAAAGCTCAGCCACTCCCAGCGTCTCTGCCATGCATGCCACCACGTGTCCGTGTCACACTGCGCGATGCAATTTGAAGACCACATCTTGCACAGGTCATCAAAGTCGACATCAGCAACTGAGCAACTGGATATGGTGCCATAAAGATCAAAGAATCTCACGGGCCACAAGCGGCTCTGGTAATCGAACCATTCAATGTCCGCACCAGGTCTCGGCGTGGTTGCTTTGAATGCTTGTCATCCTTGCCAAACTGCTGGACCCTTGTCACTCATGGAAGTAGACCGTGGATTTGCCATGAAGTTTCATGCAACTCAAACAACTTTGAAAAGCAGCTGGGGCGTAGCTCATACTGCACGTCGGTCAGACAGCAACTGTCCTTGCAGCTCAGCTAGCAACAAAAAGGCAGCGAGCGCAGAGCCGATGCAGAAGACGCAGCCGCAAGCTGCACCAACAATCAACACACGTCCATGCACAAGAAGAGCAAGCGGGCCACTCAGCTGGTTGATCCTTGTCTCCTCAAACTGCCATTCGCAGTCCGACAGTGGTTGCTTTCAATGGTTTCATCCTCTGCCGAACGCCCTCTACGCGAAAGCTCAGCCACTCCCGGCGTCTCTGCCATGCATGCCACCACGTGTCCGTGTCACACTGTGCGATGCAATTTGAAGACCACGTCTTGCACAGGTCATCAAAGTCGACATCAGCAACTGAGCAACTGGATATGGTGCCATAAAGATCAAAGAATCTCACGGGCCACAAGCGGCTCTGGTAATCGAACCATTCAATGTCCGCACCAGGTCTCGGCGTGGTTGCTTTGAATGCTTGTCATCCTTGCCAAAATGCTGGACCCTTGTCACTCATGGAAGTAGACCGTGGATTTGCCATGAAGTTTCATGCAAGTCAAACAACTTGGAAAGCAGCTGGGGCGTAGCTCATACCGCACATTCGCCAGGCAGCAAATCGCCTTGCAACTCCTCTATCCACAAATCGGCAGCTGCCGCAGAACCGACACAGAAGAAAGTGAACAAACAATCTACGCACCTCCAAGCACAAGCAAACCAAGCGGGCCACTCAGTTAGTCGATCCTTGTCTCCTCAAACTGCCATTCGGCAGTCCGACAGTGGTTGCTTTCAATGGTTTCATCCTCTGCCGAAAGCCCTCTACGCGAAAGCTCGGCCACTTCCGGCTTCCCTGCCATGCATGTCACCACGTGTCTGTGCCGTAAAGATCAAAGAATCTCACGGGCCACAAGCGGCTCTGGTAATCGAACCATTCAATGTCCGCACCAGGTCTCGGCGTGGTTGCTTTGAATGCTTGTCATCCTTGCCAAAATGCTGGACCCTTGTCACTCATGGAAGTAGACCGTGGATTTGCCGTAAAGTTTCATGCAACTCAAACAACTTTGAAAAGCAGCTGGGGCGTAGCTCATACTGCACGTCGGTCAGACAGCAACTGTCCTTGCAGCTCAGCTAGCAACAAAAAGGCAGCGAGCGCAGAGCCGATGCGGAAGACGCAGCCGCAAGCTGCACCAACAATCAACACACGCCGATGCACAAGAAGAGCAAGCGGGCCACACAGCTGGTTGATCCTTGTCTCCTCAAACTGCCTTTCGCAGTCCGACAGTGGTTGCTTTCAATGGTTTCATCCTCTGCCGAACACCCTCTACGCGAAAGCTCAGCCACTCCCGGCTTCTCTGCCATGCATGCCACCACGTGTCCGTGTCACACTGTGCGATGCAATTTGAAGACCACATCTTGCACAGGTCATCAAAGTCGACATCAGCAACTGAGCAACTGGATATGGTGCCATAAAGATCAAAGAATCTCACGGGCCACAAGCGGCTCTGGTAATCGAACCATTCAATGTCCGCACCAGGTCTCGGCGTGGTTGCTTTGAATGCTTGTCATCCTTGCCAAACTGCAAGACCCTTGTCACTCATGGAAGTAGACTGTGGATTTGCCGTAAAGTTGCATGCAACTCAAACAACTTGGAAAGCAGCTGGGGCGTAGCTCATACTGCAGTCAGACAGCGACTGGCCGTGCAGCTCAACTAGCAACAAAAAGGCAGCGAGCGCACAGCCGATGCAGAAGAGGCAGCCGCAAGCTGCACCGACAATCAACACACAACCATGCACAAGAAAAGCAAGCGGGCCACTCACCTGGTTGATCCTTGTCTCCTCAAACTGCCTTTCGCAGTCCGACAGTGGTTGCTTTCAATGGTTTCATCCTCTGCCGAACGCCCTCTACGCGAAAGCTCAGCCACTCCCGGCTTCTCTGCCATGCATGCCACCACGTGTCCGTGTCACACTGTGCGATGCAATTTGAAGACCACATCTTGCACAGGTCATCAAAGTCGACATCAGCAACTGAGCAACTGGATATGGTGCCATAAAGATCAAAGAATCTCACGGGCCACAAGCGGCTCTGGTAATCGAACCATTCGATGTCCGCACCAGGTCTCGGCGTGGTTGCTTTGAATGCTTGTCATCCTTGCCAAACTGCTGGTCCCTTGTCACTCGTGGAAGTAGACCGTGGATTTGCCATGAAGTTTCATGCAAGTCAAACAACTTGGAAAGCAGCTGGGGCGTAGCTCATACTGCACATCTGTCAAACAGCAACTGGCCTTGCAGCTCAACTAGCAACAAAAAGGCAGCGAGCGCAGAGCCGATGCAGAAGACGCAGCCGCAAGCTGCACCAACAATCAACACACGTCCATGCACAAGAAGAGCAAGCGGGCCACTCTGCTGGTTGATCCTTGTCTCCTCAAACTGCCTTTCGCAGTCCGACAGTGGTTGCTTTCAACGGTTTCATCCTCTGCCGAACACCCTCTACGCGAAAGCTCAGCCACTCCCGGCTTCTCTGCCATGCATGCCACCACGTGTCCGTGTCACACTGTGCAATGCAATTTGAAGACCACATCTTGCACAGGTCATCAAAGTCGACATCAGCAACTGAGCAACTGGATATGGTGCCATAAAGATCAAAGAATCTCACGGGCCACAAGCGGCTCTGGTAATCGAACCATTCAATGTCCGCACCAGGTCTCGGCGTGGTTGCTTTGAATGCTTGTCATCCTTGCCAAACTGCTGGACCCTTGTCACTCATGGAAGTAGACCGTGGATTTGCCATGAAGTTTCATGCAAGTCAAACAACTTGGAAAGCAGCTGGGGCGTAGCTCATACCGCACATTCGCCAGACAGCAAATCGCCTTGCAACTCCTCTATCCACAAATCGGCAGCTGCCGCAGAACCGACACAGAAGAAGGTGAACAAACAATCTACGCACCTCCAAGCACAAGAAAAGCAAGCGGGCCACTCAGCTGGTTGATCCTTGTCTCCTCAAACTGCCATTCGGCAGTCCGACAGTGGTTGCTTTCAATGGTTTCATCCTCTGCCGAACGCCCTCTACGCGAAAGCTCAGCCACTCCCGGCTTCTCTGCCATGCATGCCACCACGTGTCCGTGTCACACTGTGCGATGCAATTTGAAGACCACATCTTGCATAGGTCATCAAAGTCGACATCAGCAACTGAGCAACTGGATATGGTGCCATAAAGATCAAAGAATCTCACGGGCCACAAGCGGCTCTGGTAATCGAACCATTCCATGTCCGCACCAGGTCTCGGCGTGGTTGCTTTGAATGCTTGTCATCCTTGCCAAACTGCTGGACCCTTGACACTCATGGAAGTAGACCGTGGATTTGCTGTGAAGCTTCATGCAAGTCAAACAACTTGGAAAGCAGCTGGGGCGTAGCTCATACCGCACATTGGCCAGCTGGCGCAGAACCAACACAGAAGAAAGTGAACAAACAATCTACGCACCTCCAAGCACAAGCAAACCAAGCGGGCCACTCAGTTAGTCGATCCTTGTCTCCTCAAACTGCCATTTGCAGTCCGACAGTGGTTGCTTTCAATGGTTTCATCCTCTGCCGAACACCCTCTACGCGAAAGCTCGGCCACTTCCGGCTTCCCTGCCATGCATGTCACCACGTGTCTGTGCCATAAAGATCAAAGAATCTCACGGGCCACAAGCGGCTCTGGTAATCGAACCATTCAATGTCCGCACCAGGTCTCGGCGTGGTTGCTTTGAATGCTTGTCATCCTTGCCAAAATGCTGGACCCTTGTCACTCATGGAAGTAGACCGTGGATTTGCCATGAAGTTTCATGCAAGTCAAACAACTTGGAAAGCAGCTGGGGCGTAGCTCATACTGCACATCTGTCAAACAGCAACTGGCCTTGCAGCTCAACTAGCAACAAAAAGGCAGCTGCCGCAGAACCGACACAGAAGAAAGTGAACAAACAATCTACGCACCTCCAAGCACAAGCAAACCAAGCGGGCCACTCAGTTAGTCGATCCTTGTCTCCTCAAACTGCCATTTGCAGTCCGACAGTGGTTGCTTTCAATGGTTTCATCCTCTGCCGAACACCCTCTACGCGAAAGCTCAGCCACTCCCGGCTTCTCTGCCATGCATGCCACCACGTGTCCGTGTCACACTGTGCGATGCAATTTGAAGACCACATCTTGCACAGGTCATCAAAGTCGACATCAGCAACTGAGCAACTGGATATGGTGCCATAAAGATCAAAGAATCTCACGGGCCACAAGCGGCTCTGGTAATCGAACCATTCAATGTCCGCACCAGGTCTCGGCGTGGTTGCTTTGAATGCTTGTCATCCTTGCCAAATTGCTGGACCCTTGTCACTCATGGAAGTAGACCGTGGATTTGCTGTGAAGCTTCATGCAACTCAAACAACTAAAAAAAGAGCTCGCAACTAACTCGTGTGCACACTGCGGGTCGGTCTAGCAATTTGACTGGCCGGTTCATCAGACAGACCGTTCTTGCCCAGCAAGCAACTGTCCTTGCAACTCGTCTAGCAACAAAAGGCAGCCAGCGCAGAGCCGACACAGCAAAGGCACCCGCCAAATGAACCAACAATCAACGACATGTCCAAGAACAAGCAAACGAAGTGGGCCACTCATTTAGTCGGTCCTTGTCTCCTCAAACTGCCCTTCGGCAGTCCGACAGTGGTTGCTTTCAATGGTTTCATCCTGCACGCCATCCCTCAACGCGAAAGCTCGGCCACTTCCGGCATTCCTGCCATGCATGTTACTACGTGTCTCACAATGCGCGATTCAAATTGAAGACCACATCTTGCACAGGTCATCAATGTTGACATCATCAACTGCATATGGTGCCATGAAGATCAAATAAAATCACGGGCCACAAGCGGCTCTCGTAATCGAACCATTCGACGTCCGCACCAGGTCTCGGCGTGGTTGCTTTGAATGCTTGTCATCCTTGCCCCAATGCTGGACTCGCAAAGCTGATGGCAATGTCATTGAAATGCCAAAAAGTAAAATGACAACTAAACCCACTGACACACAGCTCGTCTGCGCATGCAAGCACACCATATGTCAGCCTATAACTTCACAGGTCGCCACTCATGTTAGTCCGGTTTGGCGCAGCGTCAGTGTATGTTTGGCAGCAAGACTGACCTGGCAATTAAGCAATACAGGCCATAGATGTAAGCCAAGCCGGCCAGTCAGTCAATTCTTCACTCCTTAAACTGCCTTGCAGTCTTAGGATAGGGGTTGTTATACATAGGACTCATCCTCTGCCGAAAGCAGCTCCCGCGAACGAGCCACAAGCCACCTTGCCATGCATGCCATGCATGCCGTCCATGCCGTCCATGCCATGTGCCATTCGTGCCATCTGTGCCATCCGATACCATCATCTTAATCTGTGTCCACCACCCCTAGACCTTGTAGCCTATGAGTCCCTGGCTTTTTGCTGGGCTCCAGGGCCGGAGTCTCAGAATTCTCGCCCGGCCTGTCGTAACGCTTCCGCACCATCACCGTGTCCTTCCCCACGATCATCACTTCTCTCTCCTCCTCTTTCCGCATTGTCCTATCTCTGGCCTGGGCAAACCAAACCGTCGCAGCGAACCAAGAAAAAGAGCGCTCGACATGGCCACGAGCGGACGCAATGAACCCTGGGGCAAATGTTGACGCCCCCTCAAATAGATGACACATGATTCTACTTCTCATCTAGCCCGACCTTGGGAAACTCAGAATCGTTCCCCAAGCGAAGTCCATTGTTGGGTGGTTCTTTTGAGATTCTGGGAACAAGTTCGGCACACCTCCAAGAATTCGGCATCACATTTGCCCCTACCAAGGAAAACTCACCTAAATCCCACTGGGTGCGGGTCAAAATTAAACCCCCAGAATCTTGGTCCATGTTTCCACTTACCAAGGTTCCATGTTCGGTACCTATTCTTGACCCACAGCCACTGGAGATGTTATAACTTGCAACCCCCCCTGAATGTGGGGACCTTCTTGGCTTCCGAGCAAAGAACATGCCCAGCGGCGCTCGTCCTCGCGCTTGAACAAAGAAAAAACATAAAAAGGGCAAGGCGCAGTGCCGAACAGCGTCTCATCCACATCTGCGTTGTGATTCACAGTGCCTTAGCGCAAGGCAAGCCCTGGCTTTTCTGCCGAAAAGGGGAGGGATGTAAGCCAACTATTCAAAGGGGCACCGAAACCCCTGTGCAGGGATCCCGCGGAAATGGAAAGTCAAACTGGCCGTCTTTGCGAACTCAGAGAGTCTCTGCTTTGATTTTGGGGCGTTTGGTTCAAGGAAAGATGCGGCAGCGAAACCTGTGGGTTGGTCTTTGTGACACCTGTGGTTCTTGGGGCAACGGTGGCATTCTCCGAGAATGGGGAGGTTGGTTCTAGGAGGGACAGCTACAACCCTCGAATTCCAAGGCACATGGTCTTTTGCGATTCTTATGTTGATTTGATCGTTCAAAAAAAAAAACTTACAGAAATTGGATCTCAAGCGCATGGGATGCATAAAGGGCATCTGAGCACGAGAATGCCCTACCCCTGTTGTTTCCTTCTCAGCACCGAGCACGAGACTTTTTCGACGACCCCTGTTAGGCCTCCCAGGACTCCCGGGGAAGCCAAAGGAAAGCCAACCGGTTGGCACATCCATCGGGGTGGATCAAAAGGTCCCATGGATGACCATGGGAGACACATGGCTGTGGCTCAAAAAACCGGAATTCCAAAATGGGTTGCCCTGGCAAGTGGAAACATGGACTAAGACCTGCGGTTTGCCCCTCCTGTTTAATTTTGAGCCACACCCACATGAGACATAAAGATGGTCTTCGAGGCACAGGGAGAAGACACCTTTTTCATCCACTAAAAAGATGAAGCCACACATAAGCCACACCCAAGTTCTTCGAGCCACACATAGGACACACCCAAGCTCTTCGAGCCAGAACAAACCCAGACCCTGAAATGCAGAACCAACAGGCTGCCGCATGGAAGCGATCAGAATACGTCTCCCACTGACCCCTCAAATGGGTGGCTTGCCTTTGGCTTCCTGATGTGGCTGTGGGTCAAAAATAGGTACCCAAAATGAAACCCTGGTAAATGGAACCAAAGACTAACGCCTGCGGTCCCCTGGTGGCTTAATTTTGACCCATACCCATGTGTCTCCTTTTACCACAAGCCCCACAACAAGCAACCCGAGTGCAAGAGCAGGTGATTCGCCGCTCTTTCGGCGGCACGCGCCAAGCACTTCGACAGTCCCCCAACGAGCCCGAATGACAAACACATTGATTGAATCCTGGTTGCTGTTCACCCCTCTGCAAGAGTGAGTTTCACTTCTTGTGGGTTCAATTCGGAAAATCGTCGAATGACTTCAACCAAGAAGTCAAAAAGTCTAAAGCTTCGGAATGCGTTCCTTTGGGCTTTGTACGCATGTTGTCTTCCCGTCCCTCCGAACCGCTCTCGATCAAATCGACTCCAAAGACGCCGCTCTCAAATCGCCCGCCAAGGCGCGGTAGCGTGTCTGGCTCCTTCCACTGGTCGTGGACATGGCGGCCACGGAACCCGGCATCTTGTCAAGTCCTCAGAGCTCCAGGGGGGTTGCTTCCCTTTTTCTTGCTCGACCATCCTTTCAAAAACCTGCTGTGTTCAACCATGGCCTCTCAAAAGTCAGCTGTGTTCCACCATTCCCGGTCAAAAACCAGCTGTCCATCAGCTGTGTTCAACCATGGCCTTTCAAAAGTCAGCTGTGTTCCACCATTCCCGGTCAAAAACCAGCTGTCCATCAGCTGTGTTCAACCATGGCCTTTCAAAAGTCAGCTGTGTTCCACCATTCCCGGTCAAAAACCAGCTGTCCATCAGCTGTGTTCAACCATGGCCTTTCAAAAGTCAGCTGTGTTCCACCATTCCCGGTCAAAAACCAGCTGTCCATCAGCTGTGTTCAACCATGGCCTTTCAAAAGTCAGCTGTGTTCCACCATTCCCGGTCAAAAACCAGCTGTCCATCAGCTGTGTTCAACCATGGCCTTTCAAAAGTCAGCTGTGTTCCACCATTCCCGGTCAAAAACCAGCTGTCCATCAGCTGTGTTCAACCATGGCCTTTCAAAAGTCAGCTGTGTTCCACCATTCCCGGTCAAAAACCAGCTGTCCATCAGCTGTGTTTCAACCATGGCCTTTCAACCAAGTCAGCTGTCCATCTGTGTTCCACCATTCCCGGTCAAAAACCAGCTGTCCATCAGCTGTGTTCAACCATGGCCTTTCAACAGTCAGCTGTGTTCCACCATTCCCGGTCAAAAACCAGCTGTCCATCAGCTGTGTTCAACCATGGCCTTTCAAAAGTCAGCTGTGTTCCACCATTCCCGGTCAAAAACCAGCTGTCCATCAGCTGTGTTCAACCATGGCCTTTCATAAGTCAGCTGTGTTCCACCCTTCCCGTCCAAAAACCACTGTCCATCAGCTGTGTTCAACCATGGCCTTTCAAAAGTCAGCTGTGTTCCACCATTCCCGGTCAAAAACCAGCTGTCCATCAGCTGTGTTCAACCATGGCCTTTCAAAAGTCAGCTGTGTTCCACCATTCCCGGTCAAAAACCAGCTGTCCATCAGCTGTTTTCAACCATGGCCTTTCAAAAATCAGCTCCTTTTCAACCATAGCCTTCCACAACCATGGCCTTTCAAACACCTGCTGTTTTTTACCATGGCTTTTGGGTGGCTA